AATGATAATTATGATCGTATGCGTCCTATTTTGAAGAGGGATGGCCGTGTGAAGAGGGATGACCATCAGGGTATATTCATTTTGTTAACGACATGATCCTTATACTGACGACGTTATTCCTTGAGTATTAGTGAGCCACGTAATTGCAATTTAAGATTACCCCTATAGTGAAGACACTAGACTGGAGTATTGAAACGTCAGGTCGTGAACATAATTTGTTCCGTGAACAGCAAGCAAAATAAAATAACTCCACCAATCAGGACACAAGAAACATGGCACATGATTTTAATGCTCCTACCCAGGGTTGGTAAGATTGGCCTTTTTGAGGCCAAATAACTCGATTTTGGCTTCTTTTTTTCTAGCTTGGCCTCGAAACAATTTGGTCTTTTGGCTTTTTTTTGGCCTCCTCACAGTTTATAGGAATTTTGTGAAAATTTATTGATTATTTTGAAATGAAAGCATTAATTTTTGCAGGTTGATTCCCATGCATTTTTACTTCGACTCACCGTCAGAAATAAACCTGGTTGTAATTCTAGCCAATCAGGATTCATGAAATCCAGTCAATTATACAGCTGACAAATTGAGCACACTGTGTTCACAGAAGTCCGCATTTGGCTTCTTTTGAACAGAACGTTGTTTGGCCTCTTTTGGTAGGTTTTGGCTACTTTTTCAACGGCATTTGGTTCCGAGCATGCGCAAGAACCTACCAACCCTGCTCCTCGTACCGTTTGTTTGGTCTACCTGAAATGACCGATGTTTCGAGACAAGGCTCGTCGTAGCTATGAACCTCCTGAAGAAAAGCTTTTTCTAGAAACATCAACGTAGCGCAGAGTTTCAAACCCAAACTACAAACTTACAGTACAACAGACAGTTTACCTGTTGGTCGTTGTTGACATTGTCTCCCAGGTCGAGCTGTATTAAAGACTCGGACCATTTTATTAAAACCACAATATATCTTACTTCCGTCCAAATTAAATGCTGCACAATGAGGTGATACAATTTCGTCCTGAATAGATTAAAATTTAGTTCAACATATATTATGTAACCATAATTAAAATCATCAAAATAAAAAAAACAACCTGGAATAAAGAGGGATCTCGGAATCCTTTATCCTTCGGCTACAAAACTGAGGATATAATCTCCAATACAAAGAGAGTAAAAACGTGCCTACCATGTGACTATAAGCTCTGTAGGAGCATCGTATTTGTCCTGTGAAAGCATCCCACAAATGTAAAGGATGGTCACGACTGCTGCTGATAAAACTAAAATATATATATTCAAGAAATTAATGTATATGTCAATATGATTATATACTGAATACATATTAAGTATTTTGTTAAGTTGTGTCTGCCCATGAAAATAAGTTTATCTTTATCACTTCTCTGCGTTTCGAGTGAAGATCCTATTCTCTCTCATGAATACATATATTAGCCAAGGTTGTCTTTTTTAGATTTGATTGTTATTGTTAAGTAGTATTTCGTGGATATATAATATCTCAGTTGCAGTACAAAGCTGAGCAAATATGAAAACAACACATGGTCTGCATAACATGTGTGGATGCCTTTTAAATGTGTGAAAGCATGATATAGATGATTGTTATAGTATTGATTCTTAGTATATGCACTTTGATGCCAATCAACTTACCAACATGTGTCAGGGTCATAAGAGGACATATTAGGATACCAATTGTAGTCATAAATTGTTTCTCCTTCCCTCATTCCAAGAACTGAACTCTACACACGAAATTAAGATTGCAAAACTTGAGATTGCAATACATTGGTTTTGAAGACTGAACACAAGAATAAACAGACTGCTTGGAAACTGACCATTTCAGGTAGAATATCACAGGTATTAAAATCAGAATATAATTCAATTGGCAGATTAAAAAGTCTTAACATATTGTCATCACTGCATGTTAGAATACATGTTCCATCTGGTGACCTAAGTAAAGAAAACAAAAGAAATGATGCAAGTTCAATTTAACTTTGATCACATCTTACTTATAGAGTAATGGGAAATACACAAATAGGGAAACGAAATTTCATCGACAACTCGCAATTCTATTCGTTAGAGTGTTCGTTCGCAGTTCGTTCTATTCGTACTTTTCATGTAGTTGGTAAAGTACACATTTTATAATGCACCTATCAATGTTAATCCCGAGGGAGGGGGGGTCGGGCAAGGGGTGGGGATTTGACATTTTTACAAAAAAAATGTCAAATGCCACTCCCTCGGGAGAAAATTCCAGGGCAAAATTCCCCACCCCCCGGGATGAAATTGTATTACTGAAGTATTTGGTTTCTGGTGCACTCTATATGTCAGGTGATAGGGAAATTACACAAATTACATTTGGCTGTATAATTTAAAGATATAACAAACATAAAGAACGTTTCAAAATAACTTAAAATACTCATTAATAATTTATATACCTTGCGCCACACCATGGTGTAGTGGACTGGAATACAGGCTAATAAAACACAGTATTCTTATATAATTATATTGTCAGTATTCTAATATAATTGTTCGCCCTAATTAGTATTCTTTTGTACTCGTATTTTAAGTTGTGCGCCTCGCGTTTTATATCTGATAAAACACACTCCTGCTCGCGTTTTAAATAGTACATAACGTGAACTTTTAATATACAAGTATAAATAGATATTAATATAATTATAAAATGGCTTTTAAGTGTTTATTTCTTGTCCAGAAATTTCCATATTTCTTGTGAAAACAACGCGCGAGACAGCGAGCGATAAACTAGTGCCCAGTCTTCAGTTTGTTCCTGACTCTTCCACAGTCCCTCGTTACCTTTTAGTGCGGGAGGATATGCCCGTTCGCGGGTTAGGCGTTGACAGCTACAACGCGGGCGACTGGGGACGAGTCGGAGTTTGTTCTAAAATTGGCTCAGGTTTCTTCAGTATATCGTCTGAGATCAGTGTTAATCTGTCAAAAATCCCCACCCTCGGGCCACTTAGAAAAAAAGTGTCAGTCCAAATCCCGACCCATGGGACCACCTGATTGATCAAATCCCCACCCTTTGCCCGACCCCCCCCCCCTCGGGGTTAACATTGATAGGTGCATTATATTATATTATATTATATTATATCATATTATAACATATCATATCATATCATATATCATATATTATATTATATTATATTATATTATATCATATCATATATCATATCATATCATATCATATCATATCACATATCATATCATATCATATATCATCATATCATATATCATCATATCATATATCATATATCATATATCATATATCATATATCATATCATATATCATATTATGTTATATTATATTATATTATATTTGTTACATACAATGCGAATATATTACAGCGACCCGGTCAGCATAAGGGTGTACATATAGAGGGACCTGTATTGGAAATAAAATCCACTTATACTTAACTATAAGCATACAAGGTTTTAGTCAGCCGATTTATGGTTTATAGATTCATATGCTAAATCAAGAAACAGTTATAGTGGTATGATCTGTCGGCTCATTATTCCCAATCCTCTGTAACTGGCTCCGTTATATGTACCATGCACCTTAGACTTGCCACAAGTCGACTTGTTGTTTGGGCCGAGCGCCGAAAGCGCGAGCACACCTAAACCATAAATCGGCCGACTAAAATCCTGGCGTGTGTGCCCAGCTTAAGCCTGGTTTCCATTTATGACCATGTGAAAGTGGCATGTGTAATGGTATTCAACATGTCTGGATAAGGAAGAAACTTATTTGAATCGTGTTTACATGTAGCACATGCACAAAACAAAGATCCACGCAGGCCTAGTTGGCTAGTTTACATCGCTGAAAATGACTTGGTCACCCAACCAAGTTGTCATTATTATATAATGTTGTTGTCGTTGCTGTCGTCGTTGTTGTTTGTCTTGTTGCTCTTGTTGTCGTTGTCGTCGTTCTTGCCGATTTCGTCATCGTCGCTATATTGTTATCCTTGTGATACGTTGTCGTCGTTCTTGCCGATTACGTCGTCGTTGTTGATGTTGTTGTTGTTGTTTATCTTGTTGCTCTTGTTGTCGTCGTTGTTCTTGCCGATTTCGTCACGTCGCTATATTGTTATCCTTGTGATACGTTGTCGTCGTTCTTGCCGATTACGTCATCGTCGCTATATTGTTATCCTTGTGATACGTTGTCGTCGTTCTTGCCGATTACGTCGTCGTCGCTATATTGTTATCCTTGTGATACGTTGTCGTCGTTCTTGCCGATTACGTCATCGTTGTTGCTGTCGTTGTTGTTGTTTATCTTGTTGCTCTTGTTGTCGTTGTCGTCGTTCTTGCCGATTACGTCATCGTCGCTATATTGTTATCCTTGTGATACGTTGTCGTCGTTCTTGCCGATTACGTTGTCGTTGTTGCTGTTGTTGTTGTTGTTTATCTTGTTGCTCTTGTTGTCGCCGTTGTTCTTGCCGATTTTGTCGTCGTTGTTACGGTTGCTGTTGTTTTTAATTACTGTTTGTGTAGTTTTTCTTGTGCTGAAACAAAAGTTTTGTGCATGTGTTTTGCTTATATAGCTAAAACTAAAAATTATTGATATAGATTGCACTGACTCGTTATGGAGAAGCCTCCGTGGGAGGAGTTAAGATCTTCGAGAAGCACTTATGAATCTCATGCGGAAATAGAGCATAAAGACAATGACTTAATCTTCAAAGCACAAACACTTAACATATAAATTGTCAATAATACGGACGATCTGTTATACTTATTATTTGTCTAGTTATACGGATCACGCCAGAAGATAACCACGAACAGAGACTGAACACATTTTCTTCTGGTCCCAATATGGAGACAAATATAGGTTATACTCCTGATATGCCTCCTGATAATAGTGAACAAGGTGAGTGGCGAAAATGTTGAAAACATATCAGCTACAAATATAGCCATGCATTATATAATAGTCATAGAAGGAAGTTTCTTTTTTGACACAAGGACTGAATCGCTGCATGTCGAAAAGTTTAGATTTGTGAACTAGATTTTTTGGATAAATTTCTTAACATTGGCAGAACTGATCATTGAAAACAGTGCTGACGTAACCAAATTGTTTTAAATCAGTGAGAGATTTGGCATTTTGGGCCATAAATATCCGACAACTTAAAACAATTAAAATGTAATATTAATAAAAAGCCAGGTATATACGTACGCCTCGGTATGTAAAGTTTTCTTATACTACATACAGTATATACTGCTTCTAACTATAAGGTCGGTCATATATTCCGACGATAACGGATAGGCACGACAACGACTATATACAGACAGTATATCATCAACCGAGTCTCTGGCAACTATGAAGGCCGGCTTTTGCTAGATCCTCAGTTTCAAGGTTTGTCATGAACCAATCAATACCTATAGGCTATACGACTACGGTTACAGTATGAGCAGTGTGTAAAACGCAAGCCTATAAGTATAATTAGGTACAATAGTTTCATACATGTCAAGGTATATGATATATTATATATCAGCTATACATTGGACTATTTTAGCACTGTGATCAACTCAATGTGATCATTGGACTATTTTAGCACTGTGATCAACTCGAAAGTTTAGTGATCAACTCGAAAGTTTATGCTCCTTTGATCACTACGCACCTAGCTTCACTTTATCAAATTAACTTGAAATTGTTAATTCAAAACATAATTATTTGTAAAATTTTATATACATTTTCCTTGTTTTGTAAATAGTGCAGTTCCTGAATAAATCTCTAAATCTCTGATGATTTGTTTTTATCCTTAATTATTTCATATATTCGTCACGGAAAAAGACTAAGCGCGTGCACGGGTTAATCAGCCTAATCAGGGTCTTTTTAATTTACTCTTCGTGGTAGACACACACTGGCTAACCATTAATACCACACAAGAGAATTAATTAGACCGTTATAATCTATGATGAAATATGCCCCGACCTTTTAATCAAAATTTGGGAAGGATTCTTCTTCAAATGGTTAAAGAAACGTCAGCAAGGATCCGGAATTCTGAACCAATTAACTTGGCAATTTAATTTAAATTCCAATTTCAAATTCCATTTATTAATTATAACCGCTAATTTTTCGGATCGATTTAATCATTCAAATCTTGACTTGTAAGGATCGAAAGCAACGAAAAATATTCACTGTGTCATATTTGCATTTCAAGTATCGCTGACAAAATAAACGACTATAGATGGCCATATTTGCCATATTTACTGACCGGGTGGGCATCAATAAAAATGTGGCGTAACAGAACGCTAGCTGCTGCCTGCTGTGACAGTTTTAAGGAGGTGGCCTTCCTTTGACTATTGACTCGGTATTGTCAACGATTAGTTCGATTGCCCGAGTCACCGTAGCAATTTAGATCGATCCGAAATCACCAGGTTCAGAGCCGTATCGCGCCAATTGTGGACCACCAAAAACGAGCTGTGACAGACTCGAGATCGATCTAAACTAAATCACCTTGAGAGGTGGTCTTGGATCGACAATTCACATTTTACCACCGAGCTGATTTCTGGCTTAGCAGTCTGGTATTTTCCCCACTTATCAACGGTAGTTAATTCAGTAAAAATTTATTCAAATATTTGTGCAAGTGTGGACACTCCACCAGAAGTCCAAAGAAACGTCCTCGGATCGTTCTCAGATTGCTCTAATTTAGCCATTCGGTCTCAAAATGTGGAAAGTGTGACCGGCCCCTATAATGAAACTAAGACAATTAAGTATTCCGGATTTTTATTAGCTAATAATGATACCAAAATGGCAGTGGCTGTTTAGTGTACGTACGTAAGTTTCCTCTAGATTTGCGTGCAATATCCAATGGCAATATATGTGCGTATTATATGTGCATACCACTGAAGCTTTGTCACCGAATAGAGGTTGTCGTCTTGTGTCTTGTAGCTAATACTATGTAGTATAGACATGCATAGGTTGGCAGAGGAATAGCCTTGTAACATATTTCTAATACCGTTATACAGGCAGACAAAGAATTGAATACTGAACATCAGTGTAGTTTGTATGGCAAAACTAAATCAGCTATGACGGAACAGTGTTGTTTTTTAATTTAATTAAAGATAGCTACTTGTTTGCCATGCAGCGCTTTCTGAATTTTGGCTAAAACTTAATATTGACTCATCATGATACTTTGTTATTTGAATAATAATATTAATAATATTCAAATTCAAACGAACTATTGTGTACTGAAGTTATAAAAGAAAATATGCATATAATTGTACAGTGTATCAAAGTCAAAGAACACATGCATATAAAATAATAAAAGCCGCGCGCTGTTTGAACTTGAATGATTGGAAAGAAAGGCAGCATATTTTAATATCTAGTACTATAGATAGCGATGCAGTAAAACTGTCCTTTCCAGATCTTATACTCCCTTAGTTTCATTACTTCCATCTGCCTTTCGTATACAAAAACTGTCTACAGCATCTGGTCTTAGTATGTACGAGTTTACCAGGCAACCAATAATTATAGTGAGCGTGCATGTAAGCACGGTTAATAGATCTAGTTCTATTAACCGTGATGTAAGCAAGCGGCGTTTTTGTCCAGCACGGACGTCACCTGCATGAAAATTGGTCAAACTAACTTTGCGTCATAGCGCTCGTGTATAAGGAAACAAAAAACTTTAAAAATCTTGTGTTTTGTCACATGTATTGAAGATTACTACAAACTGCTTCAAAACACAGTTTTTAGTCCAGTCTCCTTCGGCAATGTGACGTATGTGTTGACAAAACTATAAATCACTATTAATGCTTAGTTACGGATCTTTAACGACATTTTAGTTGTACTTCGTTTTGTTTTTAGTTACGGGACTCCGGGGTAACAGAAATCGGCTTTTTCGACTACACTCATGAAGACGTGAGAAAAATTTTGTGTTACAGTGAGGGGGTGAGGTGGTATTAAATTTTCTGGACCATCCATTTAGCCTGAAAATGTGCTGTGATATATGTGTATAAGTAATTAAATATAGCAAGATAAATTCCCGCAATACGGCAATAGTATTAATTACAGCAATGAGTTACAGCAGCTTGTGGATCCATGCAATTATAAATTGATAATCTTGGATACATTTTCACCTAAAAGACGAGCAAATGTATTATCATTGAATAATTGGTCACCTAGCAAGTAATGCTACATGACTGAAAAAATTTGGACTGTGATATACAAGTTCATACTGCATGAAAACAAATATTAATAGAAAAACGTCAGAGACAGAGTATTCTCCAGATATTCCGGCCCACAAGTCACAACAATCTTTCGGCTGGACTAAACTGTCAATTCGAATATAATTAATCACGCAGCTGACTCAAAATTACATGAAGCCAAGAATTAATAACAAAGAAATCTTAACGATCGTATAGACGTGGGAAAATATTCGAAATACAGTTATAAATTATGCAAAAATGCAATATCTCGGGCAGTTCAACTCAATAGCTCTTCAATTGATTCCTATAGCTTGAATGATCTTTCATATCGATCAAATTCACAACAACTCACATTCACAACAGAAATAACGCACGTACAGCAAATGAGAAAATATTGTTTTAGCTTTTAGCTTTTACATTCTAATGCAATGATTATAGCCTTGCGGCCCTATCATATTCGGCAAACTAATTAAAAAATTAATTTCAAACTATAGCGGTAAAAACTTAGAGGTAAAAAAACGTATCGATTTTTCTTTGACCTATATAGAGTAAAAATTATCTACGTCAACAACTGAAGGCTAGTGCAATAAGCCTGGAAAGGTTGTAACTGTGGTCAAAATGAACTCAATTAAGATTTTTTAATTAAGTCATTGTGTCTCTGACGAACTTAAGATGCAATGAATTTGGCTTGGGTGTGGGATTCCAGCGTAGGAAGCAGTTGAACAATATTGAAAATGCCAAAATTGGCTGAGGATGTAAGTTGATGAGAAGTATAGAAAAAAACTTTGTCTTTGATATTTCGAATAAAGGCAGAGTACTTGGCCTTCTTCGCCTGCATCATCGCTCGAAACGTCAGTCGAAGCTTTTTCTACATTTTTCAACGAGTTACATCTTTCAAGCAACATTTTAAATTCAACAAAGGTTTGCAGTCCACACACAAATGCCTTATAAGGTATTTGATATTTATACACTAGTGACAAGTCCGTTACCGTTGGCATTGTCTTTTCCTGATTTACTTTTATATTATTTCACTTCCTTTATATATCACCATATTATGCACGATCAGAAATATTGCGGTCACAAATTAAGAGCTAACTGATAAACTAGCGCATCTTAACTGAACATGTGTACAATGTGTTGTCATGCACTGAACTAAGCCAGTATAAGGGGGGATCTGGTCTTTGCCCTGAAGTATGCATATTTATAAGGTATTCAAGACTGTTTGATAGTACTGATTCATTTTCAAGACTGTTTGATAGTACTAAAAATGATTGGTTAACTGTCTTTGCAGGAATAGAGTTGAAACTCTACAACCCCAACAACGAGGAAGATGACATCAGCAATGGGGACTTAGGGGAGTATATAGAACCAGAAAACAGCATAAAGGGCAGTAATGACCATTCCGTTGTTGTTGAAACAAAGACTGAGAAGGAGACGCCAAATGGAGAAGTTTCGGGTGAAAAACGTGATACATGGGGAAACAAGGCAGAGTTTCTTCTTGCTTCCATTGGATTAGCTGTGGGTCTAGGAAATGTCTGGAGATTTCCTTACTTGTGCCAAAGAAATGGAGGGGGTAGGTATTTGTCATTAATTCCAGGGGAACAAAGGGGTAGGTAATTGTGAGGGCATGGGTACAGCAAGGAAGGTGATAATACGCAGAGGAATAAGGAGAAGTTGTTTTTTTCATCATTGGTCTGGCAGTACTGTGGGCTTAAAAAACGTCTGGTAATAAAATTATTTCAATATCCTCTATACAGAGTGTTTCTGTACGTACACTACAGAAGGAGAGAAGGACGTGCTAAGACAATCAAACTTTTCTATTGGCTTCGATATGTAACTGCCTTAGGGTTCGTTTTGAGATTTTTAACTCCGGTTGATGACACAATCAAGAGTTTGTAGATAATCTATTTATTAAACACCTGCAGGTAATCTATAGACCCATTGCATGACGTCACAAATCCTTAGAGTGTCCTCCAGATGCTACCTAACAATATCTGTTCGGGTACAACAACCACACGCAGCGCAAAAATTAACCATTTTAATACAAAATTATTATAAACTTTTACAAAATTTGCTTTGTTTACAAAAGTTATATTATGCATAGATTGCATGCTAATTTGTCCTCCAGATGCATCGTCACCGGCGCTGTGACGTCATGTGCAATGGGTCTATATTGTCAGGTGGCCTCTTGTTCATGGCCATCTCAATTTTTCCTTTGTTATTTCTAATTTTCCTTATATTAATTGTAATAAAATTGATATTGAAAATACATGTTAAAAGGAATTCCAAAGAATGCATGTATACTGTATATAAAATAAATATATTTAAGTGTCTGTTGTTGTAGTAGCTTATAAAGTTATGAGTTGCTCATGAGTATATGTCAAACTTATATTTCAGAAAACCCTTTTATATATACGGAAATCGAAGTAACCTCGTGACAACCGGGGAGATGTGTTTCAAATATACAATATATTATTAGTAATATCACTGTTCGCGAATTCAGGTTTAAGACCTATTAGTTCAACGCACACTTATATAGTGTGCATGCGTGGTGTTCGCATTTTTGAACTATGGTATTTCAGTAATTACCTTATTGTTCTTATTTCAGGTGCGTTTCTTATTCCATATGTAATTTTCATGTTCATCGAAGGCATTCCATTGATGTTACTTGAGTTCGCCATTGGTCAAAAGATGCGAGGTACAGCAGTCCGGATTTGGAAAGATATCCATCCAGCATTGTTTGGAGTCGGCATCGGTTGTTTAATGGTTTCCCTGTTGCTTTGTATGTACTATGTGATTGTAATTGCATGGTGTCTTCTGTATCTTTTCATTTCGATGACTAAAAATCTACCATGGGCTTCTGAAGAAGTTTGTTCCAAGAACACAGAGTACAATACATTGAAAGATACTCGAGATTACTGGAAAAACAACTACACTTCCTCTGCGCTAAATGCGACATTCAGGAATAACTCCCAAGCCATGTACATGATAGCAAAGCAGAAAGTGGACAACTTTAGTGATTGTTGTGTCATTGATCCTCCTCAATGGTATTTCTATACTGAAGTATTGGATATCTCAACTGAAATTGAAGATTATGGTGATGGTTTGAATGGAAAGCTGGTTGGTTGCTTAATATTGGCATGGGTCATTGTTTATCTTTGTGTTGTCAAAGGGATCAAGTCCAGTGGAAAGGTATAAATGAAGGAATGCACTTGAAAAACTCAAGTTTACATGAAATAGTATGTTTACGTAAAACTAATTGTTAAAAAAATTAAAACATTTATATGTACATTAAGTTTAAAATTCAGAATGTCTCACTATAAAAGTGCGCCCACTTGCAAATAAAACTGTCTTGGAAACGTTTCGTTCTACATTTATGTTAAATTATGATACATTAGATCTTTTGATCGAATTTACAATCTTCATCATTTTTAATGCAACTGCATTGTATATAGGAACTAGCACGTAAAGTTGCATACACCTTTGAAGTTATATTTTTATTCAATTATTTTTTGCTTGTTTTTAGGTTGTGTATTTTACAGCAACATTCCCTTACATCATTCTTATCGTGCTACTTATCCGAGGAGTGACATTGGATGGAGCTAGGAATGGATTGGAGACATTTATAACGCCCGATGTGAGTAATAATAACAACTGTGTCATACAAGTTATAGCTTGTCTTGTATACCCCTGCGCTGATCGGCGCACGGCTATGGCTTGAAACTGGAAACAGAATAGAAATCTTTCATTAGCATGCATGCGTTTATTAGCAATCATTACGAAACGTAATTCCTTCTTTTCCCTGTAAGTGCATGACAAAGATAGTAAAAGAATAAGTGCATGCATGAGTACATCAAAGTGTATATATAATGTTTTTCGAGAACACTGATTAAACCAAGCTCGGATCTTCACCAGTCCAAGTAAATATTATACATCTAAAATAATTTCTCATTTTTTAAAGTGGGAGAGGCTTAAAGATGTCAAAGTTTGGAAAGATGCTGCTACTCAAATGTTCTTCACTCTCAGCTTGGCTTTTGGAGCTCTTACTGCATTTGCCAGTTACATGCCTTATAATAATCAATGTATACATGATGGTTATACTGTGGTGATTATAAATTGTGCTACTTCAATGTTTGCTGGTGTAGTGGTTTTCTCTATTCTTGGTTACAGAGAACTGAAGACTGGAATAGCAGCTAGTGAGGTCTGAAAATCATGCTTAATAAAGTTCTTTCTTAAAACGCGGCCCGCGGACGGGGCTTAGTTCAGAAGATTTGAGGATTTGAACTATTAAGCAGCTAGTACTTCCAGAGTTACAGTATATTAATTTTTATTTGGTTTATTTTATTTGGACATTGATTGATCATCGCCCAGTATTTCATCTTTGAACCATATTAATTCATTCAAGTTTTAAATCGTTGTGTAATATACGTTCAGCTTTCTAGTATACGTGTACATTGAAAATTGTTTTTCGTTGGTCAACTCACTAACGCATGCACTATTGGATCAATTTCTTAATTCAATGCAGATTGCAGAATAAAAAAAGATCATGTATTAAATCTTCAACGATAAGTTAGTTCGCAACAAACCAAGTGAACATAAATTGGCCAGTAATCTTTCTTACCTTAAATTCTGTTAACCAGTTTGCAAAATTATATCAATCATAATGTTTTACTATAATATATAAAAGCGAAATGTTAATAAACATCCCTGCTTTGAGCCTTTGACACAGGGCCGTAGCAACCGGAGGGGGGGGGGGGCTGTAGCCCCCTGCCTCCCCACCCAATCATTTGCTAATAATCATTCTTTTCTCATTTAAATAATATACCTTTAAAATACTGACAATTGATTAATTTTAAGCAGCTACATTATCCATGCTAAACTGCAAAGAATGAAGATATTACCCATACTTTTCTGCAACTTATCCAATATATAGTTAATTAAATACGCCTTCGCCCATTCCGTACTACTAAATTGTAAGCAAATTGTAAATTTCGACATACAAAAACGCTAAATTGTAAATTTCGGCATACTAAAACGCTGTTTTCTGACCAACAGAATTCTGTCAGATCTTCCCTAAAGTCCAGGAAATGACATTTCAGAGACTCTAAATTTAAAAATTTCCTCGGGCCTTCGGCCCTCGGTTTCAGCCGCCCCCCCCCCCAATAAAAAAGAGCTTCCTACGACACTGTGCCACTATCCTAGCTCACCTTAAATTATAGTGATGATTTCTGCATGAGTCCAGAGTCGGTCTACGCCAAGTGTCAGTGGTAATATGATATCCCTCGACGGGATTTTAAAAAGTATTTAAGAATTGCAAGCTAAATAATTTCTTGCTTTATTTTTTCCTAGGTTGGTAGTGGACCTGGTTTAGCTTTCATGGCATTTTCCGACGCTCTCTTAAACTTGGATGTATCTCCACTGTGGGCGATACTCTTTTTCATTATGTTGATTTTGCTTGGTATTGACAGTGAATTTGGTACACTTGAGGCAGTTATTGGACCACTCATGGAGCTGGGAACCTTTCCTAAGAAAATGAGGAAGGAAGTAGTTACTGGTAAGTTAAACGGACTGACATCGATTACATCAAACATTATTCACACGATGGTGCAAAGGTTTTCTGGTGTCATGTGGGTTTTAGCATGAAACTCCCTGATCCAGGGTAGGATCCTCTCTTCCATTTCCAGACTCAGATTCTTGCCTGTCGTGGAAGATTTTGTAAAATTATAAGGACGCTTGTTATGGTGGTGTCGAAAATGCAGAAAACTAAACCACATGCAGAGAGTCGGACAACACGCCCAAAATGGCCCAGCCCAACGGCGTAAATTAGGCATGGGCAACAGCTCATTGTAAATATGAATACCTTTTTGCTCATCCAACATGCATCTTATGCACTCTTGTATGTCATTCTTCAGCTATCGTCGCTATCGTCCTTTTGCTTGTTGGATTGGGAATGGTCGCTGGGAATGGTTTTTACATCTTCCAAATATTTGACGATTACGCTGCTGGGATTGCTTTGCTGGTCATTGCTATGTTCCAGTGTATTGGTGTGGCCTGGATATACGGCAATGAAAGGTATATAGATTAGTGGCTTTAACATCAATATTTCACAGTTATCCCATCTGGATATATAGATTTGCAAGTTAAATTGATTATCATACCTTACCTGAGCATATCCAAAAGTCCCAGTACATTTAAAAAAATAACATAAATTAATACCTTACCTTATCAAGATTTGTGGGCATCTCGCTCGATAGAACTAACAATTGAAGGGTTTTTATAGATGGAAATTTCGAGAAGAAGATTTTATACAATTTTAGACCTATTAAAAGCTGGAGCAACTGATATTTAATAGTAAGTTTTAAATTTTAGATTTGCTGACGATATCGAAGATATGACAGGCAGCAGACCGTGGATTGGGTGGAGAATTTGTTGGAAATATATCTCACCTATCGCATTGTTCCTTATCTTGGTTGCTACTGTTTACGATCTCACCGAAGACACGGCAACATATCAGGCCTTTGTAGGATGTGAACAGGTATAAGCGAATTTCTAATTGAAATATCATTAAAGGGGATTTTAAATCGGCTTCGTGAAAATCACTGTGTGTAAACGCAGTTAATGATGGCGGAAAGCTCTTTTTTAAAATATTTTGGTCAGTGTGAACGTCTCAATTTTGATGTCTTATTTTGCTTTCAAATCTTCCATACTAATTGGTATGGGTACTGTCACAATAGTACCCTGCCAACTCAACCTTCCGAGACAAGTATCATTTATTTGTTTTGTAGTGTTAGTGATGAGTACAGTGTTCCACATTAAACCTTCTTCACTGACCTCATATACGGTAAACTTTCCTCACAGGTACCGGTAACTGCATACCCGCAGCCTTTTTTCAACTCTGTTGGTTGCCCATTTTAATTTGACAATAGTCAATGCTAAGAATAGCATAAAACTGCCTATTAATACCACGTGATACATGACATTTATTCTTTATGTAGGACCCATTCAGTTCTAAGTATCTTGGAAGCAAGACATGGACAGCAGGTCTTGAATATCCCGGATGGGGCCAATTCCTGTGTGCTTTGATGGTCCTTATTCCAACTGCACCTATAATCTTCTTCATTATTTATCGCTCTGGTGTGTAGACGTGCCATACAATCAAGAAACGTGTAACCAAGTTTTATTGTATAAACTAAAATTTTACCTAAATCCAAACACCGTACACGTGTACGTACACATTTGTTTAATAAAGTATACATGTCAGTAAAATATGTATGAAAGAGCCAGTGGAGTACGGGAATGAAATTTAGGCTGTTAAGTACCTAAGATCGAGAACTACATCAGGCTTACAATGTTGATGGTCATGTTAATTAATACATTATACGGTGCAGTTTTTAGACTATTTCGCTGATATGTGAAGCAGGTTTAACGGCACGCAGTCACTGTACTTAATTTAACACTCGTGCATATTTACTCTCTAAACTTTTTTGAAAACCTAATGCCGGTTTTCCACTAGCGAAATTTGTCGCGCGAATCTTTTGTCTTATAAGCTCTCGGCTGGAGCTATTTAGATTTTTAATCAAATTCGTTTAACAATAAAAAATTCGCTTTAATTTTAACAATAAAAATTCGCTTCGCGCGAAAAAATTCGCTAGTGGAAACAGGCTTAAAGCCGGTTTTCCACTTGCGAATTTTTTTCACGCGAAGCGAATTTTTCATCTGTCTTTGGTCTGTGAACTGGAACCATCTGGAACTAATTGGATAAAGACAAAAGAAAAATTCACTTCGCGCGAAAAAATCCGCAAGTGAAAAACCGGCTTAAAACCAGTTTTCCACTAGCGAATTTTTTCGCTCGAAGCGACCTTTTTCCTTTGTCAGCATCCATTTTGCCACGTCTTGCTGACGTAATAAGTGATATACCGACAAAGGAAAAAGGTCGCTTCGCGCGAAAAAATTCGCTAGTGGAAAACCGGCTTAACGAACAGGATCGAGCACGCGTCACTGCCAGGGGCCGGTTGTATAAAAGTCATAATCACTTTTTTAAAGACTATTTTGTAGTTAAATAGTGATTAACTCTTAAATAGACGCTTCTTATTGAATGACGTTTGCACTTAACCATAGTTATCTTTAATCACTTTTTTATACAACCGGTCCCCGATACCACACCGAGGACTCCGATTTTTCCGATACCCTGTAGAAACTAGTTGAACCATGCATGCAGGGGCAACTGTTTTTGAAGAGATTAGAATCAGTTAAGAACCGAGCTGCCTGATTTCATATATAGGTATCATTTCACTCCTGTGGTTCTAGCTTTTATGCGGGTTTTTGCTGTAATATTTAAAATATTAACCATAGTACATAGGTAAATATCAGGATTTTGGGCATCTCACTCGATAGAACTAATTGTTGATCAGGGTTTGTAGATGGAAATTTCGAGTGTAATTTTAACATATTTATTAAACAAATGTAGCAGTCATATCAGTTTTGAACGTAATTGGTCAATGAGTGTCTGATACCAATCTCGTTCCCAGAGTATGCCTGTTCGCTGGTTATGTAGTAGCATGACACTACATAACCCGCGAACAGGCATATTCTGGAAACGAGATTGGTCTGATGCATGTCGCCGCGGGAATTCTCTAGTACATGTGCGGTTGCTTTGTGCTATAGGTAGATTTTTACACAAATCACATTCTCATCACTTGAGTCACTGTCTCACTCCCTGGTCTCTGGCTCTCTCGTCTCTCACTAGTCCCATGCATTATATATATTTTAGATTATCTCACGTTCAGTTCATTCTCACCTATGATTGGTTCGTCTTAATTGCATTATTTTTCTAATTATTTTGCACTATATTATTAAATCAACACATAATCATCCCCAGTCTCCGACACACTCCCCCCATGTAGCTCCTATATGGAGATACATGTTATGAAGGAGACTTTTATAAAACATAACAATGAATATAGAAAATGTCAATAGTAAAATAGTCAAAGTTGCCCTTAGTTTTTAAAGTTGTTTCTGTTCATACTCTGCAATCTTCCGAATTCGCTCATAAGCTTCTTCAGCAGCTTTTCGCTTCGGTCGGAAAACCTTGGCATCTGGGTTCAGTATGGTTGCATCTGGTTTAACGCTAGTCTCACTTGCAAGCTCCATTGGGTAGAGGTGCTGGACAGGTCTCTCGAGGGTTCCTTTGGCTGTCTTCAGTTTCACTGCCCGAATGACTCCGTCTTTTCCCGGAAAGACTCGTTGCACGATAGCCAAGGGCCAGTTTCCTCGGTTTGTGTCGTCACTCTTTACTATTACCACGTCCCCTACAAAGACTTTGAACTTTGTCGTCTGATGTGTCAGGTTGTGTTTCTCTCTAAGGGCAGTCAGGTATTCTCTTCTCCAGCGGTTCCATAGGTTCTTCTTGCAGGTGATCAAGAACTTGGGTCGCTTTCGCAGGGATTTCTCTTCTTCTCGCCATGGCTCTTGTTCGGGTAGTTGGTTCGACCTTTGGAACAGGAAGGTAGATGGGGTGAGGGTTTGGAGCTCAACATCATCTTCCACGTAGCTCAGAGGGCGTCTATTAATTTGGGTCTCGATATCTAACATGACTTCGCTTAACTCTTGCCAAGTGAGTGTCGCTCCCCCGATCGTCTTGTGCATTGCTTTTTTCACTATACCTATCAGTCTCTCGAACTGGCCGTCCCACCAGGGTGCTCTTGACAGGTTGAATTTCCACGTGATGTTGCACTCTTCTAGATGGCTGTGGAGGCGCTCGTTCTTCACTGCTTGACCTAACCACTTCGCCGCTTTCACGAATGTACGACCGTTGTCTGAGTAGATAACCCGAGGTCGACCCTTTCGAGCGACTAGCCGTTTCAAACATGGGATAAAGGTGGCCGTTTCAAGATTGGGAACTATTTCTAGGTGGACCGCTCTCGACAAACTGCAAGAGAAAATGACCAGATAGGCCTTTCCCTCTCGCTTCGCAGCTCTTCGATACCGTATTGGCCCTGCAAAATCAGTTCCCACGACTTCGAAGGCTGTTTCTCCGGTGGTTCGGTCTTCTGGAAGTTGACCAGGAGGGGGTGCTGCGAAGGCCGTTGCTCTTGAACGCTTGCAACCCCAGCAATCTCTTCGGATCGACTTTACCAACCGTCTGAGCCTTGGTATCCAGTAATCCTCTCTCACTGCGGCCATGGTTAAACCAACGCCGCCATGCAGTGTCTCGACGTGTATTCTCTGCACCAACTTTCTCGTAAACGGCGCGTCAGGAGGTGGGTAAATTGGGTACTTTCCTCGGATTCTTCCCCGACACTCGAGCAGACCTTCGACGTTTTTCTGCAGGTTGAGGGCGACTTTGGTTCGCTCGTGATGTGGGGTTGTGCTGTCTTGGAGTTGGACACGTTTGATCCACCAGGTCTTCATTTCGTCCACTTCTGGGGTTGTCAACGGACCGCGTTGCTTTTGTTTGCTTCGACAATTGCGAACAAAACGCAGTATCCACGCACTGGTTCGGAGGACGCGTCGTAGGTCTCGTCTTTCGAGAAAGTCGTCGAAGTCGTCCGTGTTCGTCTCTTCTGCTTGTGCGACACACAAGACTTCTTTAATGATTTTGGCCTCAGCCTCTGAATCTGCTGAAGTTTCTGTAATTGGGTTGGTTGGCCAACGGTCGTGGTCTTGTAGCCACTCAGGTCCAGTCCACCACAACGGTGTGGTCACTGTCCCCCCACGGCTGGCTAGGTCGGCAGGGTTGTCATGGGTAGGCACGTATCGCCACTCGATTTCCGGATGAAGTTGGATCTTGGCGACTCTATTTGCCACAAACTGTTTATATTGTCCGTTACCCCGGATCCAGTGTAGGGCAACTGAGCTGTCTAGCCATCCGAGTATTCTGGGCTTCGGAAGTCCCTGTAAGGCGCTGCCCACGTTCGTCACAAGATTGGTGGCCATGTGTGCTGCGACCAATTCCAAACGAGGAATGGTGAGCCCTTGCTTCGCGAGTCGACCCTTCCCAGCTACAAGTCGCTGTGTGACTCCCGACTTTTGTCTCACGATTGAGTAGACAGCGGCGCCTACTCCTTGTGTAGAGGCGTCTCCAAACGCGTGGAGCTCTAGCTCATCGACCGGTTCTCTGTGATCAACTATCGCCCGCGGTGTCGTCTCTATCTTCGGGGTGATTCGTTCCCACTTCTTCCAACGCTGTGTCAGTTTATCATCAAGCTTGGCATCCCACGGTGTCTTCGACTCACACGCCGCTCTGTACACCAATTTCCCTTCTAGTGTCAGCGGTGACACTAGACCGAGGGGGTCATAGATCTTGGCGAGCTTACCGAGAATCCCGCGTCTGGTTACAGGATGTTCATCTTCAGGGAAGTTGATGGAT